GTCTGTACTCTGCGAGCATCTCTCCCTGTTAGTATCTGCACTCTGCGAGCATCTGTCCATGTTAGTGACTGTACTCTGTGAGCATCTCTCCATGTTAGTGTCTGTACTCTGCGATAATCTCTCCCTGTTAGCGTCTGTACTCTGCGAGCATCTCTCCATGTTAGTGTCTGTACTCTGCGAGCATCTGTCCATGTTAGTGTCTGTACTCTGCGAGCATCTCTCCATCTTAGCATCTGTACTCTGTGAGCATCTGTCCATGTTAGTGTCTGTACTCTGCGAGCATCTCTCCATCTTAGTGTCTGTACTCTGCCAGCATCTCTCCATGTTAGCGTCTGTGCGAGCATCTGTCCATGTTAGCGTCTGTACTCTGTGAGCATCTCTCCATGTTTGTGTCTGTACTCTGCGAGCATCTCTCCATGTTAGCGTCTGTACTCTGCGAGCATCTGTCCATGTTAGTGTCTGTACTCTGCGAGCATCTGTCCATGCTTGTGTCTGTACTCTGCGAGCACATGGTCTCCGTGTTTGTGTGTGTATTTTGTGTTATTCAGCCTCAGCACTGTTGAGTGTGTGTAATGAGTACTGATATCAAATGTGCTGTGCTGGTTGTGTGGAACAGGTACTCATGTATCTGTGTGTAATGAGTACTAACACTGAATGTGCCATACTGGTTATGTATAACAAGTACTTACTTAGTACCTGTGTATAATGAGTACTCACACTGAATTTCCTGGCAGTGTGTAAGAAGTACTCATGTAATACCTATGTGCATGAGCACTCACACTCAATATGTTATGCTGGTCATGTGTGTAATCCACCAAATGTGCTATGCTGAAATGAGTACACACATGGTACATGCTGTGTTGTCTATACTGAGTACTGGCAGTGTTCTCATGTTTTGCATGCTGTGTGGATAGTGTGTACTCATACTTGCAGGCACCCTGTACTGTGATTGGTGTACTCGCTCCTTGCATGCCGGGAAGCCCTGTACATTTCAGCTGCGCAGTTTTTAATAAGTTCTGTGATCATTAAGATGGGGCTGATTTATGTGTGTGTGTGGGGGGGGGGGTGCCATCCAGGCAGGGCGACAGCAGGCAGTGATTCATTAGCATTGGTGCTAATTGGGAGAAGGGGGCCCTCACATGCTCCATCTGACCTCCTGACCGGGGCGGGAGGGGGGAGGAGGCACACAGATGAGGGGGCAATCTTAGAGCATGGCAGGAAATGGGTTAGGGAACATTAAAACGCAGAGGTTTCAGAGCTTACAGTGGGAGGTATAAAGTGCTTCTGTGGGTGAGCCTGAACCCAGAATGGACCCCCCCACACCGCAATGAGGTAGCTCAACCCCACCCTCACCCCAGATTTCCCAGAGTCAGCCCTGTGGCTTTTATATGAGGTGACAGGCTTCATTTCAGCAGCGCCCATTCCTGTTCCCTCCCCATTACAGGAATCCCAAACCCTCCCCAGGCACAGAAACCCTCTGCATGCTTCAGGCAGGCCTGGGGGAACGTCAAGAGGTCACATTTTACAATTATTACGGAGTGAAACGAGGCGAGAACATCGGCTGCTTCCTGGCTGGTGCTTCCGAAGCGGCGCTGGATCACGTGTGTCTTTCTGCTTCCCACCCAAAGCTTACCCAGAATGCCGTGCAGCTTCTAAGCATAGTGCCCTGACTGCCATCTGTGCTTTACTCGCCACGTAAGAACACGCTGGTCACCAAGGCCGGCAGCGGCATCTGGCTTGGTTCTCAAACCAAAATTCCTATCCCACCTGTGAGTTTTCCCCAAGTCTTGGTTTTACTTAGGAATTGCGCGCGGGGGGAGGGGGGGTGGGATAGTTTTCTGACATTTACAGAAAGGTGTGGCCCACAGTCCCGGGGAGAACGAGGAACGTAGCACGTGGAGAGAGGAGAGAGAAAGCGAGGGATAGAGGACAGTGGAGAGGAAGGGTCACCATCAGAGAGGTGAAGGGTCACACCGGCTTTTACCGCCTCCCTGTCCTGATCATGTCAAAACTGCCCCCAAGAGATATATTGACCAATGGCTGGGCATCAGCCAAGAGGAGGTCTCCGGCCAATCAGAAGCCTGTTCCGCTGAGGCTCCTGAGTTCTGGAATACGCCCTGCAGATCAGTAACATTATAACCCTGGAAGTTAACTGGATACTCTCCCCAAGCCGGACGCTTCCCTTTGAAATGGGGCGATTTAAATATGAGCCCGAGGGTCACTGGGTAACGCTCAGTTAGTCTGCAGGTATTTATGAGCTGGGAGTCGCAATCATTCCTGCTATGTAAGGTCAGTGCATTCCACCTGTGCAGGGAGCATTGCAGGGTATTTATTACCCCGACAAACTGCCCCCGTTGTTCCCGTGGTGACAGAGCGGCCATGTGGCCGGGCTTTTCCCCGCACCTCACGCTGCCTGTGGGTAGGGGGCGTGGCGTGCTCAGCAGACACAGTCAGGCCCACACACGTACAATAAAATAAATAGGAGGTCATCTACGGAGCACAGGCCTCGCGGCCACCAGCTACGTCAGGCCCGATCGAGGACCCCCCCCCGAAGGAGGCAGGGACCAGCCCAGACGTGACACCAGTCTGACCCCGAACTATGACGGCTCCAAGGGAGGGGAACAGCCATGTAAACATTTCCAGCCGCTCAATGTAAGCAGCAGATGTGGATGTTAAAATATAACCTCAGAATTCGCTATAAGTAGACGGGTGGGTGTTTCTGTAATGGTCGGCGGCAGGTGGAGCGTCAGGGTTGGGTTTGGGCTGCTTGTTGACAATGAGCTGTACGGATACCCAGCACCCAGGCTGTGGGCTAAAGCAGGTCCGTGGGGACCCAGCCAGATAAGGTGATCAGGTAGCTCAAAAGAAGCCAGGACACATTCAGCAGGGGGGGGGGGGGTGACAGAAAGATCAAAGGGGACTTTGTGGCCCGATTTCCAGTCACAAACATTTTTACTTCAGCTGGACCCACCGATATTCCCTGGATGGCATGATGGAGACACAGGGGTGAGTGTGTCACCTGAGGACAGAGCTCCTGAACAGCGTCCCCCGGTGGCGAGTCGGGGCGTATGATGAGCCAGCTCACAGCTTTGTTTTGCTCTCTCTTAGTTTTCCTCTAGCAGATTCCCCCCAATACAAGGTGTCTTCCAGCTCCCTGTCTGTCTCAGGTTGCCATGTACATATGGGTGTGCCCCCCCCCCCCCATACAGACCTCTGCTCATACAGGGAGTCCGCATGTTTATACCAAGGGGACTCCTGTCTGTGGGCGGGGCCCCGGTGAAGCCACCAAACGAAGACAGTGATACATAAGCACGCCTGGTGCTGTCACGCTACAGAGGCGCAGGCCGGTCAGTGTGCCTGTCTGTGTGTGTGTGTGTGTCCTACCCTACAGCCCCTGACCCCCTGCCTCCTGATCTCCTCTCCTGCCCTCCACACCCTGAGCACTCCCATTGTTTTTGAAGGGAAGGATTCACTGACACCTTTCGTCAGGATGTGCTGAACCAAAGTCCCCCCCCCCCCCAGCAGGGCTCATGCTGTCACACAGCACCCCCAGACCCCAGCAACGCCCCACTGCCCCATACACACCACTGTCCTACGCCCTGGGATTGTGTTTCTGCGTACTGTATGCTTTCAGTGGTAGTAGACAGCAGCGCCGGACGTAGACCTCACTCTGGCGGAGTTCACGGAGCAGCCAGGTGAGCTTGCGGTCCTCGTCTCCCTGCCGGAGCGACGGCGGATGCTCTCACGGGCCGCCCAGAAATCCAACAAAACAGTGGCGCGATTTCGGATTTAGCTACAGGCGCATGCGGAGAGACGCGTAATCCCTTTATCCATAAAAACGGGCCAGAGTCGTCTTCTCTGATCCCTCCATATCGCCACCACGGCAGCATTTCCCACAATGCCTCACTGCCACCCGCCGCCACGGCTGATGCAGAAAAAAAACCTTGGGCGAGATCCTCAAGGCAAAACAGAGAGACTGTGGCGGGCTCCCAGGAGAGACGGCGAGGGGACGGCGTGAGGCGAATTAAACCCCATGTGTGCTGCCTGGCAGAGGGCGTGGCGGAGGTGAGAGGAACCCGCACGCTACTTCTCATGGGAGAAACCCATGATGCATGACTCACCGGGGAATGTTTTCAGTATCTGCTCCTTGTAGCGGAACGTCTCCGGGAAGCAGGACCCGCGCGGCTGGGCTCCGCCCCCACGCCCCTCAGCGGAGCGGCTTGCGAACCTCCTTGTTTACGTCTGCCTGCCGTGTGTGTCGACATGCCAGACTGCAAGCTTCCTGTCTGCCTCACGGCCGCTGAGCACTTTAATGTCGTACCTGCGGCTTCAGGCCGGGAGACTCGCTACCTCAAACGCTGAGGTTAATACAACGATAAAATACCCAGGCTGGATGGATACAGAAGAAGCTCCACCAGGAATGAACTTACACCCTGTAGTAGGTTCACACACAGCTGTATCGTCCTGTGAAAATACAGAAATGCCGCTCTGTAGCCTGCCTTCATGAATGCTATCAGTTTGTCATCTTATTCAGATTTTCTTTCTAACATTCCCTCCTCTTATATTTTGTATATATCATCCATCCATCCATCCACCCACCCATCCATCCATCCATCCATCGCTATGGGTCCCCTTCCCAAACCCCACCTGGTTAATGTGTTTGAGTTTGTCGATAATTTGGCTGATGACAGGTTCTGCTGCCTTGGGTTTGGACTCGGCACTGTTCAGCTGGGCCCTCTTTGATCCTGGCAATGGAAACCTGGGACACAGGAAGAGGTGAATTATGGGAAAGAGAAAACAAGGAAGGAATAAAAGATAAAAGTATTAGGCAAAAGACAGAGGGAAATGGAATCAGAGGAAAAAAGCAAGTAACTCTCTACTCTTTAATAATTAAAACTGTAAAAAAGAACAGAAGATATTTGACTTGTTTTATCTGTTTACGGTTCCCTTTAGAACTGACATATTATAGTGTGTATTATGGCACTTGGTTAGAGACTGAGAGTTCTTACTTGAGTAATCTTGACTATTGCATGAGTGCCACCTAGTGGTGCCCGAAGACAACAAAGACAGCTGAGCAGCGGCAGCAACCGCCACAAAAAGAGCCAGCGACTGATCGCGAGCATGAAGAAAAGCTAGCAGGGGCAGGTGACCTGAAGATCATGCGACATATGACCTGTCAGATCATGTGACCTGTCAGATCATGAGTGTTTCTCAATACTGAAAATGGACAAAGATCGTATTTATTGTCTTGGCAAGGGCATTCTTACTAACACCTCCCAAGAACTTGGGACGCAATGAATGGGATTGTTCTCGTTTGGCGTGGATGCAAACGATGCATCCTTGATATTTGGGGCGGGGCAAGAACGACATCTGGGGATGATTACCGTCCTCTGTACTTCTGTTCTTAGTACTGGGGTTGCTCTTCACAAATGGAAGATGATGTCAAACACAAGTACACTCAAGTACGCATACTGACAAACACCCCCTGAGACCTGTCAGATCATTGCTCTTGCATCTGACAAACACCCAGTAAAAACAACCCAGATAGCACACATATGTTGAAATGATATTGATTCCATATCAGACAAAAGGGTTGAAACAACGTTGATCTTCAATCTCTCACCTTATATCAACATTGAATCAAGGTTTTGCCACCATCAATTTTTCAATATTGAAAATCTGACCAAAAAACAAATCAGTTTCAACGGTGATAATTTAACACTGACCATGATTCAACGCATTTAACTATAATTCAACACTGAAACAATAACATGATGCTATCTGGGAAAGCACTGTATTCATCAAAAGGGGGACGTATAACTCTCACATTCTGAACATTTTAAACACTTTCATAACTGCAATAAATGACTTGCATCATTTATAACAGCTCCAGAAATAACCAAGCTGGAAAAGTGCTCCCAGCTTCAGACCTCCCAGCTTAGCGAGCGTGTGGGTCTGTGCCGGAGGAGCAGCTCCCCCTGCAGTCAGGTCCCAGGCACTGCGACCTCACCGGGGGAAGCTGCTGGTGTCCCTCGTCGGGGAGTTTTTATTGGTGCGGCTGGATGGACACGGTTTTGGCTGCTGGTAGGACCACAGCGCCACCGCCTGCACCCTACCGCTCCCCCCTGCCCCCGCTGACAGCTTCGCTGCCAGTTTCTCCTGCTTGACTTATCCGAGACTCTCCGTGCCAGTGAGCCTACAGTTCAGCATCTGGGCAGCGGCACTCATGCTGCCCCCTACCGCCATCGCGTGACTAGTGCTAACGCTAAGAGGCGGCAAAGTCAAGATCTCGGATTATAGAAGCGCCATCGTGACTGCATGAGATACAGCCTCTACAGCCCCACGTGATCAACCGCCTGCATGGTCGAAAAAGCGCTTTAAGTTCACAAGCTGTTCGTTTTCAGCAGCGTCCAGTGCTTGTCTGCGGAATCAACTGCAGAAACAACTGCGGAAACAAGACCTTTCTGAGCAGATCCTTTGTTACAGAAATATTATAGTTATGTGTCGCTGAACGACAGGGATATTCTGAGAATTGCGTCCCTAGGTGATCTCGCCATTGTGAGAATATTATAGAGTGTACGTACACAAACCTCGATGGCATTGCCGAAATAACGATAGAAAGTACCGTGCAGTAAATATATAAACCAGTAACGTAGGTTTGCTCACACCAATATCACCACAAACACGTGGGTAAAGCGTCGTGTTACAATGTTACGACGGCTACGTTGTCGTCAGGCGACTGGAATTTTTCAGCTCCGATGTAATCTTAACGTCGTAAATGCAGTTAGTCGTTGACCGAATCGTCATTCGGCGCATGACTGTAATTTTTAGCAGAACACTGCTCTTAGAAAATGCCATCCATAGTAAGCAGAGCATTTTGACTGTAAATTCAGTCCAGTTCAACTTGTATATGCCATTCTACTATGTGCCCTTTCTAATGCAGCCATTACAGTGTGCCAAAGTGTTTGTTAAAGAATGGCACCATAAATTGACATGTTACACAGCAAAGAAATCCCTGAAGGTACCAGAGGAGAAGAAAGAGGTACTAGGAATTGCCAGCCCCCACCCAGAGGGGCATCAGACATGTCTGTATTATTGTAAGACCTAAGGTTGGAAAGGATAGGTGGTTGACTGTTCTGTTCTGGTCTTTGTCTGGACCCAGTGCTGGTCATCAGATCAGCAGATTGTCCTGCGGCAGAGTAGCTGCTCGTGTTGTACCTGGAAGGAGCTTACTTTATTCCGGTAAGGACCTCATGTTGTACCTGTGACATCCTCCCAATGTACTTCTAAGGTCCTCATGTTGTACCTGTGAGATCCTCCCAATGTACTTCTAAGGTCCTCATGTTGTACCTGTGAGATCCTCCCAATGAACTTCTAAGGTCCTCATGTTGTACCAATGAGATTCTCACGCTGAGCCACAAAGATCCTCGCGTTGTACTTGTGGGGTCCTCATGCTGCACGCCTTAGGTTCTCAGGTTGTACCTGAAGGGCCCTTTTCCTGCACCCCTTGCATCCATATGTCATATCAAAGCCCGGTAAGAAGTTAATGTGTGATGCAATAGCAGCTCCAGTGCCAGCCACGGACTGGACTGCCACTGAATGGTTAGTCAGAGTTCCGTAATTATTTTAACATCTTTCAGTGTTAATGAGGTAACAGGTGAAGGCAAAGTGCAGAAAGGACAAGTGACAGTTTGTGAATGTGATTGGGTGTGGGGTGTGGAGTGGGGGGGGGCACTGTAGATCAGTGTAACAAACACAGTATCAGTGTAACACACAGCTTTACACAGGCCTGGAACACATACACACAGTATCAGTGTAACACACAGCTTTACACAGACCTGGGACACACACACAGTATCA